TAGATTTGTAAGTGCTAAAATTGGCAAGATTTTGGGTATTGTCGGCACCGTATCTGTAGTTTTTATCATTATGACCCTGAAAATCGGTTAACTTTCTACAGTTGTCACTTAACTCTTCTTCTTCATTGCATTATGCAATGCTGTTGCCTTCCAAATTGGGGATGGAACTGCTGTGACTGCTGATGAATTTGGAAAGTGTTCCTAAAATTTTTGGACATCGTTCTCTGTTATAATTAGAATTATTATTTTTTGCTCCTTGTCGATATTTTTGATCTGTTTTTTGCTCGCAATTCTGTAAATTCTACAAATGATAATTTTGTGTGTTATTTTTGGGTACCAATTGGGATGGTTGGATAAGACTGAAAATCGACATTCATCATCGCAGAATATGTTAGTTATGATTTTTTTGTAAATTAGAATAAAAATTGTTTGCCTAAAATGAGAGCAATTTATTAAGGTACTAAGAAAAAAAAGTGTTGGACTATTGCTTGATGAAGGATCATTGAAATTTATGCTAGAAAACAGTATTAGTGGTTTATATTAATAGTGCAACTAGTTTATTTGCCATTTACTTTTATATTCTTTGAAAGCATATAAAACTTTATCAATGACTAAAGTTACCGGACGGTGTTACAAACGAACTTGAAATTATTACGGTTGAATTTCGGACAGTCTGATATCGTTTTCATTTACTTCCTTTTGCAGCGTCAAGATTACAGTGCTCGATATTTCATCTTATCCCTGTCTTGTCGCCTAAATTGCTGAACCTAACTTAACTGTATCTGTCTATCTGTTTCTAATCTGGACGTCAAGCAAGTCGAAAACCCGGGGGAAGTTGTGCAGTGTGGATTTCTGATATTACCGCTATTCGTATTTTTATTATTCTTATTATTATATTAGCCAAAGTAGTACTATAAAAAAAAGAAGAACGAGAAAATTATGGATAATTTGCGGTGTCCAGAATATTTGTCAGAGTCGCCATCTACGTCATCGACCCTGAATGGTCCAACAGCAGCTTTGCTCGTTTCACAGAATCGAAGACGATCTGCAAAACTAACTGAACAGAATCGTAATCGAAACTATGATGTCACGAGGCTGGTTCTTGGGCAGGTAAAATTTATCGCTTTTTTTTTCAGTTTTTTTACACAGTTTTTAGTCGTATCAAATGAGAATCGTAAAAAGATAGCAGAAATAGACGGCGATTATAAGCTGTATCATTTTTTAGTTTTGCTTTTGGTGTAGAAGATAGGTTTCAATCAATTATATGTTGCTTCTTTCCCGTTTTATTTTTATTTTTTGCTTTCCCCGTAAATTTAGTTCCTTTTTTTTTTCAGTTTTAGTAAGTAATCAGGAAACTTCATTGTAACTGCTTTTATTAGGTTTCAAGTCTTTTTCTTATTTTTGCCTTGACGAATCTGATTTGTTCTGTTTTTTTTTGTTTTGTTCTGTTTTGTTTTGTTTTTTTTTTTTTTTTTT